GTTGGTGTTACATTTTCAGACCTTTTTTCCCCTTTAATGATTGGAACAATATAATGTATATCAACTAAGCGAGAAGTCTAAATCTTCTGTCTTTTTCGCTTCTGGAGCTGAAAATAGCATCATAGCAAGGTGGCATCAGATTCATGTCCTGAAGCTTAGTGAATACTAGTAAAGAATGACTAGAACCAGGGTGTGGATGTCCAGATAAACAAGATGGGCCTAATCCACTGTGGGAGCCCTATTGAGATGGATAAGACCTCCCAGGGGGGCTTTCTGCATTCTGGTTCTTTCTGACAAGAGAATTTGAAACAACCCATATATTTCTCTTTCATTACAAATCCCCCTTATCTTAAAATTTTTTGTTAAAAATGTACACTCTACAAGAAGCTGTTTATAATGACTACAGTCACATCCTTGATGATACATTGACAATAGAGCAATGTTTATATAATATCTATATAAGATAATATAGGCATTACATATTGTATAATTATATAAATTGCAAGCCAAACTCCATGTGCACAAAATTACTTAAAAAAAAAACAAAAAAAACTTTGTTTCTGTTAAAAGTTGCCTTTCTAATAAGTGTTGTGAACTGGCTATCAGCCAGTAAGTTTTCTTCTCTTACCCTAGGATTGCATGGAAGTACCAACGCACTGGATTGGGTGGGTATGGGGAAGTGAGGGAAGCGTGTCTGTTTGAGTTATCTTCTATCAATGCCATTCTTAGGTGAAATGTCCATTCTAGTCTTTGTATAATATAAGTACTTTGATGATCAGTGTTACTCCATGCTACTTGTGTGTATGTGTGAATCACTTCTGCTCTTTACTATTACTTCCTAAATAAACTATCCACACACACATCATTCATTATCTGCAGCTCTGCATACAGGAGGAACTAAGCTAAGACAGGCCTCTAAAATTGAAAATGTCCGGGCTTGGGCAGGGTCTTTGTTTAGCTAAGGGATCAGCATAAAGAGGTATATGGTTAAATGCTGGCCTCTATTTTGTATTTCAGAATCAACAAGGCCCAATTTGAAAGGGGTGGTATTATTAATAGGATGAAAAAAATCAAACTTTTATTTTATTATTGAGTTGTTGACATAGTAAGGCTATGTAACAAACTACCCCCAAACTCAGTTGCTTACAACCAGCATTTATTCATTCTCACAAGTTGCCAAGATAACACATGCAGCTTATACAGGCTGCACTTATCTGGACAGTTCTGTCTTGTGTTGTAAGTTGCCTGGGTTTGGTTCCAGAATGTAAATTTGCTACAGATACATTTGTTCTGGAACAGGCTGAAGAGACAGCAGTTCCCTGGGGCATACTATTCTCGGAGCACTGAATCACTGAAAACAAGAGCCAAGCCAAACTGTACAAGCACATTTAAGGTCCTTACTTACATCACATCCAATAATATTCCACTGACCAAAGCAAATCACATGGTCAAGCTCAACATCAATGGGCCAGGAAAGTACACTCTCTCCACAGGAGCAGAGGGAGTGGAGTGAATATAATCATTATCCTGTGTGTTAGTGCTATAACCTTGAAAAATTATGAGGCAGTAAGGAAACATTACTCTTCCTTCTTATGGGTATAAATTTGTTAATGTTTATCTTTGGGACATGTATGCATTTGTGTTTGTACTCTTGTCTTGCACTGGGTTAACCCAACAGTTACCAAATAGGCATTCAAAGGAAAGAAAACAGAGGCATATCTTGAACCCTTCTTGGGAAGACTTTGAAGATGGCTGCATGTGGAGGATAAGATCTAGTTAGAATATTCTTTCTTGAATTCTTGAATAAAATATTTTAGTTTGACTGAATAATTATGACTTAGAAGAAAGGAATGGAGTCTGAGGGAAAAACCACCCACCCAGGGTAGGAAGATAAAGTTTCAGACATGGGGGGTGGAAAGTCAGGGAGGCAGGTTTGGAGCAGGAGAGGAAAGTGGGCCGGAGGGCAGGATGTTAAAGTTGGGAATTGGGGGCTTCTGATGGGAAAGAAGGATCTAATGCTTAGCTGCTATAATCTGGCCTATAAACAAAGTCATGTAGTAAAACCCTTTCCCTCACAGGTAGTAAGTCCCTTTAGATTTTTGTTTTCCCTCTCAATACTTCAGTTAAGGCTCAGTTATAGAGCTTTTTATGTTGTCAAAAACTAAAAGTCTGAGATACATAGAAAAATAAAATATACCTATTCAAATAATTCTTAAATTGCCTTTTAGAAAGCCCATTTTCTACAAAGGAATTACCTTCTTTATGTAAACCATCAACTAATTTGGGAAACACAATAAGAAAAAGAGATCCTATTTTTGTTGGAAACATGAGCTTTTTTCTTTTTGACTTAATAAGAAGTCATTTATTCTTCTGATTTTTTACATATTTTGGTTAATACATCAAGTATATAATGTGGGAGTTCTCTTAAGAATGTTAAAACCACACATATTAAAGTCAGCTACACATTATATTAGGCTATTAGACAGATGTCACTTTTAATCACAACACTTACACATTATATTTTTTATTTTTACTAACAGAGGAACATGCCTTCCAAAAATATTTTATTGGATGAAACTTTCTTATTCTCAGGAAAATTTTGGTTCTTTAATATAATTTATTATGCATTTAAAATTCTGCTTGATAAAAGCATTGCTACATTATAAATACCTGTAAATAAAATATAGTTTAAATTTTTGAGGGAAATATTATATGTTTCTTCTCTTACATTTTCACAAAAATTCACACAGGCACTAAGAAAGACTGACAAAAATATTTTTTTGTCTGAACAATATACTCCAGGTTGGAAACATTCAAACATGACTTTATTTAAATATCAAAGCTTCTCTAGAGTGCACCTTGGCTGCAATCCAATGAGCTGGTTGGGGGTTTAGTCAGGAAAAGATTCTGTTAGAAAGATAAAGAAGAAAGCTTCGGACAATGAGGAGTAGGCTAGGAATGGGGAAAGGATGAGTTTTCATTTATTACTGTTTATTGTTCCCTCTAGGCGTTAGCTTTGTTGTTGTTTTCAGTTGAAAATGTATCTCATAACTCTTTGCCCTTTTCAGTTTTAATACTTTTTGATGGACTGAAATGTTAAAAATTCTATCTAACACTCCATATCAAATAGTATGTGAAACTTCCAAGAACAGACTGATACTATAATTCTTTTAAAAGAACATCCTTAAAGCTTCATGGGTATTGCTCTGGAAATAACCTTGTCTGCACAATTTCATATGGTAGCATAGGCGGCGATGTTGTGTGTTGCAAATCATACTTCAAACTAAAGTGCTTGACAGACTCTAGAATTCTCTTCCAGGTCTAGTTCATGTGTAGCCTGATAAAGTTCAAACTTTGTGGAAGAACAGCAAACAATGAGCCCACTGGGAGAATGCCACTGTAGGTGACCAGAGCCTTTGTGAGCATAGACAGAATGGGAAGCTAAGTGGCTGGCAATTAATGAATTAGTGTAAACCTGCATCCATGGGAGGTGAGGTTAAATGAACATGTCAGATTAGATATCAGCGGTACTTGCAGGAGTCTAAGATACCATCTGGGGGCTAATAATTTAATAAGGTCATGGACAATTCTCATAGTTATTATAATACAGATCCTGCCTGGAAGAAGTTGAAGGTATTTTTTTTCCCAGTGCATTTACACTTTGAAAATGTTCATTTAGTGCAAGAGTGGGGCCAAATGAAATGCCTATCAAGTGCTCATCAGTAAGGTGGCTGCCATAAGTAGCATGAAGCAGAGAGCCTTGGGGACCTACCACTCAAGTTTAGCTACTTAGCTCCAGGCAACTATAGCCACGGTGGATGCTAGGTCTGAGTATCAGATTTTATGTAAAATCTCATATTTTCAATAATCACTCACATTTAAAAAGCATTTTATATGTAAAAAAAAAAAAATCTACCTGAAGGACAAATGTGGCCTGTGGGCTGCCGCTTGTGTCCTCTGAGTTGAAACTTGGAAGCAGTTTGATGAGAATTTGGATACTATTAGCTCTACCATTAGGGAAGAGCCTTTAGTGTCAAGAAATGAAAACTGGATCTTCAGGGACCCAGAGAAACCTATCCTAATGAATACAATTTTCAAAACAAACAAAACTTCCCATTGGCTCTCCCCTGTTATTATATTGGTTCTCCATGTTATGAGTGGTTTTCTGTTATTATTAATAATGAAAATTATGATTAGGAGTTTGCTGAGTGCCACGAGTAAGTTTATTTTAAGAAAGTAGTGTAAATTAGATCTCTCAGTATTCTGTTTGTGGCTAAGACAAGTGAAGAAAACCTTCAGAGGAGGAAATGAAGGAAGACCAGAACACACAGCGTGTGTCTCAGTCATCAGTATATCAACAGAGACCTCTTAACATGGCACACCAAGCAAGGAATGTTCTAACACTGCCTAAACCAGATCACACAGATTCTGAGATCTGTTTATGGATCTGAGTACTACTCCCTGAATAAGTAGTACTTTGGAATAGAAAAGATGGGCTAGGGGTCTAATTATGAACACTTTCATCTGAAACTTTCCAAAGCCTTCTTTGGTATCAAAATTCAAAGAACCACAGAGCAAAGACTGGAGACAAGCTATCAGAACAGATTTCCTTCCTCTCATTCTTTGCAGATTTCTTTTAAAAATTATCTATTGCCCCAGGTTTTGACTTTTCTTTTGAGAAATGGAATTGGGGGGCTGAGGGAGGTATTCTAATGTGGTTTGAGGACCACGTGTGGACTGTGGCTCTGGAAAGAACAAACACGTTACTTGTGTAGGCAGGAAGAGGTGCTTGTGAAAAGAGCCATGATCCATTCAGGAAGTTGGACTCACTGTTGGAGCTCATCCCTTTCTAATATCCATTTTGGGGAGAAAAAGGAAAGCGTAACAAAAGATATTATAAGCATGAGAATCAATGGCAAAAACTACCACTTCAGACACAGGCAAAAATCTATGGGTAAGGTCGGAGGATGAATATTTCCAACTCAGGATCACAGGCTTCTTTAGTTTTCCTCCCTCAGAAGGTCCACCAGCGCCTGCAGCAGCCGGTCATCTCTGTGCTTGTAGGGTTTGGTGTTATAGAAAACATCGACATAGTCGTTATACAGACTGTCCTCGGTGTCTCTAAGGTGGGAAGGTTTGTTCAGCTTTTCCAGGGCTTCATAGAAATTTTCGTAAGGGATGTTGGGCTTTGCACCTGAAGTCTTCTTTGGTGATTGCTTCAGTGGTGAGTTTTTGCTGAAAGCGCTTTGCAGGAGTCGCAGCATGGCCTCCGAGGGGTCTCCCTCCACCTGCTCCTCCTTTCTGTTTCTCACGCTGCCACTGCCGCTGCCGCTGCCGAGGCTCTTTGCAGCCAGGGGCTTCTCATTCCGGTTCTCTTCTGTGGGCCGCTCCTAAAACACAGAAATCCACCAACAAAAGGAAGAAGGCTTGTTATTTAGAGCTGGGCAGGCCAGCTGTGGTTCATACCCACTGCTTGCTCCCCCACAGGCAACTGGAGAGCAGAAAGAGGACAAGGCCTCGCGATACATTAACTCAGTTTTCAGCCCTGAAATTTCCTTTTACTGTTAGATCCTTAGCACCTTTTCATCTCCCTAATTTCACCTGTAGGAATAAGAATTCCTGGTGATTTGAAAACGGAATAAGATGATACATTATAAGTGCTCATACTGATGGGTCTCCTTCACTTTGGTAAATGAAGTAGAATTCATGATAGGGGATTCAGTAATTTTGAATTCATTAATTTTAATTTCCAAATCCTTAGTGAATGAATAAGTGAATAAAACAATAGAGTTTCATCCTACGGAAACGAAACAATTTACCACTCCCACTCCCATTCTTTCTTACCCATGTTTGACTCACTCCCTGCTGAAAAGTTAGGGGCAGCTTCCCTCACTCCATTGTCAATCTACAGTTCAAACAAAGAGCATGCCAAGGAGAATCCAGCCACACAGACCTCTCCTGAGTCCACCACCTTCTCCACCCCTCTTCGGTCATTCTGCACGGTGTTGTAGGATGTGTACACACGGGGCCGTTTCATGTGTTCTGGCTGAGTTGAGGTCCCATGCAAAATCAGCTTCCAGTTCACAATTCTCCCTTCATTTTGCTTTCTTCCAGACTGATGAATGAGCATACATATTTTAAGCAGAATTTTTTTTACAACTGACAATACTAAATCACAACTTTAGCTGTCTTTAAGAGAAAGGTATTCTCAGAGAAAAAAGCAACCGTGTAGTTCTGAGTAACATAAAACAAGATCCTTCAAACTATCAAAAAAATTTTCTGTAGTTTAAATCTGATTTTAAAATTTTGTACATTCCACATCTAGAGCTCTGTGTGAAAAGAAATACATCACTGGGGGATAAATGGTGATGGAAGGAGACTTGACTTGAGGTGGTGAGTGAACACACAATACAATATACAGATAATGTATTATAGAATTGTACATCTGAAATCTAAATAATCTTATTAACCAATGATTCCAAAAAGAAAAAAGAAAAACACACACATTTTTTAAAGATAATAAAGGAAAAAAAAAAACACAAGAAAAAAATCACTGTATTCTTGCTGTGAAAATTGACAATTTACAGGCTCAAGGATTTTTTTTTTAATGATTAATTGCTTCCTTTAATTAAAAAAAGCAGAACTTTCTATATTAATCTCTATATGGAATGTATTCTTAAAAAGTTGACTATACACATATAAATAGATTTATATTAAATAATTATCAACTTTTAGAAACATTCTATTGGGGGAAAATGTAGGAGCCCCTTTCACATTCTGCGTGGTTCAGGGTTCCAATTCTGGAGAAGGCCGCACACAAATGAAGAGAGACTAGAAAATGTATCAATTTGGCGATGTTGGGGGCCAGGCAGGAGCCCACCTCTAGTGGGAGGACTACACACTGCTCTGGCCTTGCTATCCCTTTTATTGAGGCTATGGGGTACACCCATAGCCCTTAGACTGGAAATAACAGAAATTTACATAAGACAAAGGAGGCGGAGGCTGCTTCAGCTAACAATGTCTCAACTAAACAGTGAGTGGTTAGAGCAATTAAGGTTGTTGACCAGCCTTCCTGGCTTCCTGTCCAAGTCTCTCTATTAGTGAAACAGTGATTGGTTTCCATCAGGAAAAAGTCAGCCTTAATAGAATATTACAAATAGCCTTCAGCATTAACCAACTCTTAAAAACTGTACATTTATGAGAAGAATAATACTTTTCAGAGGCTCAAAAATTATGTTTAAAATAATGTGCTGAAATCTAAAATGTCTACAAAGTATTCAAAAACATAAAGTCAAATTTTGCAGATTAAATTTTGAAAACAGATTTTCTTAGTTTCCTGATAATCATCACCAAACATCACCAAAATCCCATTTATTCACAGAGTGGAGTCCACGGTCAAGAACAAGACAACCTACTAAGAACATTTCCTTGTTCTCCACATGAGGGAAGGGATTTTTACAACTGCTAATATTAAATTACAACTTTAGTTATCATTAGGAGAAAGGTATTTTTAACTATAGAATTTGTAATAATTTAATTGACATCTCTAGGAATTTGTATTAATTTAATTAATATCTTCAGGAATAATTCCTTTTAAAAAAGTTATTTAAAAAGTTATGGGCTTGAAAGGTCAGTGGAGGGACAACTATACTACCTTCAGCAATAAAAATAAATATCTCTATATAAAAGGCTAACATGCTAAGTGTTCCTCTGACCATCTGACCAATCGTTATGACACACACCGACCACCAGGGGGAAGATGTTCAACACAGGAGCTGCCATGACGTGCAGTAGCCATTTACAAAGAAATGGCACCATAGACCTGGAGCCAACAAAGCAACACTTGGCTTCCCCGAAGTGGGACACATGACTCCCCTCCACCTCAGAGCAACAGCCCACCAAATGCTGCCTAGACCCCTTGCACAAAATGCAGCCCACAGTCCAGACCAGCTCAGAAACGGTTGCTGTGAGCACTGGGTAATGACGTCACATAGCAACATGTGGCTTCCTCTCCCTAGCGACTAGCCTCCTTAGAGTTTCTTCAGTCCAGGAAAATGACTTGATTTATAGGCAGGTGCAAACATTTTACACCTTAACCAAATGTCTGTGAAGCATCTTCCTGTGCCTCATCTCATTTGATCATCACAGAAATCCTTGAGTAGGTAGATAGAAGACTTGGTAGAATCCTATTTTCTTTTTCATTAGCTGGAAAATGGAGCTTTAGAAAGTTTAGAAACTTGACCCAACTGAAAAGAAGTAAAAAAATGGTAGACCTTGAAAATGACTTCAGGTTTTCTCACTGCACAAAATATAATCAAACACTGCTGCAGTTAAATATTTTACCCTTTGTCCTTCCTGTATGATTTATAATAATAATCTGCTTTGTGTTGATATTTACTGCTGTGTTGCTAACAGTTACCTGAAATAGTAATTGTTGCTTTACTGGGCTGGAAAAAGTTTAGCTACCTTAGGAAGCAGGTCTAATTAAGCAAGTTTAGTCTATATATATATAGAAGGCTAAGTTGACTTGCATGTGCACAATACATATAAAGCTCTTGCTGGTGCCAGTCACACGCATGTGTTTCGATCTATCATTGTCTAATGTCAATTTGGTTGGCACTTCTATTACAGAGAAAGGGAAGATAGTAATATTAAATTATTTCTTCTAATTAATTTCCTTTCAATGTGCATGAATCCATGCACCAGAACACTAGTTAAAAAAAATTATTTAGACATTGAAATCTGACACTGCTGATACTTTTAACATATCTATCAGGAGGATTCAGACCAAAACCTCATTTATTTATGTGCTCACCTATAGGAAATGCTGAAGAAATGATGCAAAAATAAATAATTCAGCTGTATAAATCAGTGTAATTCAGCTGTATGTATAATTTGGCTCTTTGCTCAGATACCCTTTGCTTTATTTTTGTGACTGTATGTTATAATTATGAAAGATATCAAAGAGTGTTAGTAAACATAGTGAAAGAAAAAGAACTGAAACAAAATAGAGTCATATTAAATAAGAAGTCTTCTCTCATAAGTAAGCTACTTCTAAATGGCCCCTGGAGTAAATATTTGTAATAGTTCGTTCATGTGACTTCCAGCAGAGTATCATAGGCAAAGATAGTCTAGCATTTAACTATGTTGTTGTTTTTTTTAATATATTTTTACTGATTTCAGGGAGGAAGGGAGATGGAAATAGAAATATCAAGGATGAAAGAGAATCATCGATTGGCTGCCTTCTGCACACTCCCTATAGGGGTCTGAGCCCACAAGTTGGGCATGTGCCCTGACCAGGAATCAAATCATGACCTCCTGGTTCATAGTTCAATACAATCATTGAGTCATGCTAGTCGGACTATGTTTTTGAATATAGCTCATTCTGGTGAGTAGATCATGTGGGACACTTGGATTTGTCCCATGGTCTGTCTCACTGTATATCAGAATATCTTTTCTTTCTTCCTCTATGGCCAGTGCCTAATTTATTTATTTTTTAAAATCTATCTAGCCAAGTGGCAGGACTTGAAACACTACATCTTTTCATTACTTCAACTACAGAGGGATCAAAGTTCCTTAGGGCCCTGATGAATGATGACATCAACCTTAAAACTCCTTCCATGTGTTTAAAAGTATTATAAGTTTGTGTTTCTATAGCCTTTCCTTCTTACTTACCATGTCTGCAATTCGCAAAGTCCAGGTGCCTATTGGGTTCTCTCCCCACGTATGAACAGACATGAAGTCCCAATTTTTAAAGCCATTAGGAGATCTATCCCGCTCTCTTTCAGCTAACAGAACAGTGCTGGTTCCTATTTTCATACAAGAAATACAAGTTAATAAATGTCCTACCAGCTCTGATAGGACACACTATAGCATCTCTTAATGAAAATAAAAGCTGGGAGATATTAACCCTCCAAATGTTTTTATCTACAGTACATTGCACATTATCTGACATATAATAAGTTCTCAATCCATACTGTAGAAAATGAAATAATGAATGGATATATTAAGGTTTATTTGAATAAGAAGAACTCCAAGAACTACATTAACAAACTACATTAAAGAGAGAAGCAAAGACTTAAAATACATTTTAGTGGAACTGTCATTTTTAAATATAAGAGGACATTTTGAGAATTTAATAGGTGCCTGTCTACAATCTTGTGTGTACATTAAAAGGCTATGTTAATTTAATAATCTCTTGTCATAAAAAAACTAGTAATAGGAATAACTCTAAAATTTCAAATCCAAGCTTTCTAAAGAACAATAAATACTACTTTCTAAGTGAAAGGGTAAAAAAAAATTACAGGGCCATTAATGAAAAAGCAGTCCACCAACCTTTCAGGACAGTTTTAAGATATCTAGAAAGTGTAACTCCAAAATTAACAGAACCTATTCAAATCTGTAAGAAGTTCATATCATGGAAGGACATTATAGAGATAGCTCATTTTTCTGCACACATCACCTACAGGCATGGAATTTATCCAGAGACTGAATGTGGAAGAGTGCTGGGACAGCTTCTCCTGATGGATTATGGTTTGTGTTCAGAAACTCTTCCTATCCAGAATCCCATCTAACATAGTGCCCTCTCAAGAAAGAGCAACTGCCCATATATCACATCATATGCCTTAAGATCATTATGAAAAATTTGTTAGTCTTCTCAACCCTCTTTCATGGATGAGAATTCTCAGTTTTTCAATTGACTCCTTGTCTGATGTATCTATCAGCTTTATTAATTAATTATCAGAGTAATTTTCACTAAAGTTACCTGAGGGAAAAGAATGGTAGATCAATGACTTGGAAAAATGAGTACAATTTGAAAATGTATATTATGGTATTCATTAACTCCAGAAAGGCTTATTAATTACATTATTATTCGAATAGACCTTGTTCTTTGCTTATCTAAGGACCCGTGGGAATGAGCAGGGCAGAATTTTGATGTTAAAGAAAGAGGTGAGTGGGGAGAAAGCATATTTTTTTAAGACCTGAAAATATCTATTGGGAGACTTAGTTCTATAAAGAAACAAAACATTGAAGTAATTGAGTTTATATTTAAACAAATGGTTTAAAAGAAAAAACTAAAGTTAAAAAAAAATTACCAGCAGCAGAAGTGAGTGTGACATGAAGATCTCCTCTTCGGGAATATTCAATTGTTGCTTCAAATTGTACATGTTCCAGGGATGTGATAGCATTTTCCTGTCCCTCACAAGCTGTTGTTGGAATTTCAATGATAACTTCTCCATTAGCTTTCAGGGATCTAAATATATTAATGAATCTCCATGGAATAAAGTGTATCTCTTCTTCCTTACACTTTACAAATAGTATGTACACATCAGTCTTGTACTTGATACTCAACTAAGCTTGTTGTCTCTCCCTATTATGAATAGAACCTAATTCTGAACTATCTACATATAAATGAATTTTAATGCATAGAAAATGGTAAGGCCTTTACAGAATAGGAAAAAAAACAAAACCCACAATTCTACAGTTTCATCATAAATAGCAAAATCAATCCTGAGAAAAAAAACAAAGCTGGAGGCATCACACTTCCTGATTTCAAAATATATTAGAAAGCTACAATAATCAAAACAGTATGTTGGTGGCATAATGACAGACATATATAGGCCAATGGAACAGAATACAGAACCTAGTTAAGTGTTCTTACCACAATAAAATAAAAAGAAAAGAAAATAGTAAAGAACACAGGTACTTTAAAAAAAAATGCTGTTTACTGTGGAATCGAATTTAGGCAGGTTACTTTGGACCCATCAAAAAGTGGTCTATTATTGCAATGGACATGTCTTCCAGGCCTTCTACCCTTGGGTATTTTGTGTGAGTGGATCTTCAGTATAATCATGATTGTTGTGATAGAATTAACAAGACAGTCATAGCAGGATCTGCTTCTGGGGCTAGATGTGGTGGGTCAGATGTGGTCTATGTAAAAGCAGTATGATAAAGGTTCCTTCATGAAAGAAAGATGAAGAATCACATAGCACTGTGGTATGAAGTGAGGCTCTTGAGGTCTGGATAATACTGGTTGGCGAGTACTGTATTTCATCAATTCTAAAATGCATTTTTTCAACATTTTATCTTTGAATTTGGGATAATTCTTAAAACTAATGATTGATAATAGTTTAATTAGCTATGATTGTTCTTAGTGCTATATAAAACAATGGTACACCTTAAACTTAATACTAGATGGTAGGTAGGCTATGAGAGGAAAATGCAAATATGCCAATATAATTTACAGATCTTTGATCTCAATATACCCCCTGGACCCACAGCGAACACTGGCAAATGCTACCTCCATCTACCTCAGAAAGAAAGGTGAGAAAAAAATTAGACAAAGTGACAAATACATCAAATAATGCCATGGACACACATTTGTTCAAAATTCCTGAGACACTTACCTGGGCTCAAAGTCATTGTCCTTTACCACACACACTTTCTTCTCAGGCACACTGACCCAGGTTCTTGGATCAGCTAAGTCCACCAGAGCTTTGGCATTTAGCAGCCCGAATCCAAACCGACTGTTCACCATCAAGCCGGCGCCATTCTTTTTCCATTCAGGGTTATTGGCCAGTGGGTCATACTCAGAGGTCCAGACAACCAAGTGCTGCATATCTCGCCAGGTTAGATTTGGACTAGATTGAAAGTGACCCAAACATCTTTCAGGGACAAAATGAAGTTTCCTTGCAAAAGCAAGTGCTAAGAACAAGCATTTATATTCAGAAATTATGAAGTACATTTTGTAACTGTATTTAATGTAATTCTAGCGTTACTATTTGTATGTCTTTTCATTTAGAAATCAAAACACAGTTTAGAAAACTTCTCATACCATGTAAGATAAGTTCTTATCATTAGTAAAATTTTGTCTTCAGCATTGTAGAAATACAGGACTTGGTTCATGATTCTTAATTAGTTAAATTTACCTGGAGCAAAAATAAAAATGACAGCACCTCCTTTCATTCTTCCAGTCTCCTACTGTCCATTAACATCTTTGGCATTTTTAGCATTATTAACAAAGTCCTTGACTTTCTTCTTGAGAAGACTCAGATTTTAAAGATATGGACTGGCTTCCTACTCAAATAGGTTTTTTGGTTCTTTATGTATTGCAAGTGTCAAGGAACTCTTAGCTACTTGAGATCACTCTCGTAAGATCACTATGGTTCATACTATGGTGGTTCTTATTTTTAAGAAGCTTACACTCCAATAAAAGAACTAAGGTTATTTTTTATTACTGTAATATATCTGCTGAATAATGTGTTTATGGCATAATGCACTGCAGGAGTTTAGTAGAGAGATAATTATTTCAGGTTAGGAAGACCTAGAGAGGTTTTGCTGGGAAGAAATTTTTGAGCTGAACTTTAAAGAGTGAGTAGAATGTCAAGAAGTGGAGTGAGAGAAAAGAGAATGAGGCAATGGAGCAAAACCTGTTCAGGGGGTGGGGTGAGGGGGAAGAGGCAAAGTACATGATGTGGTTCAAGTACAGTGAATAGTCTGGCTTGCTGGAGCAGGAAGAGGTGATAAGGATACTGAGCCAGATGGTGAAGGCTTTGACTGCCAGGTAAGGGACTTATACTTTATTGTTTGGGCAATGGGGAATCATTGAGAAATTTTGAGCAAAGAAGTAGTTTAACCAGAAGACCAGACATATTGATACAATTAATTTAGCAACAATATAAAGATAATCATAGGATTGTTAGGTCTATTATAATGCAGATAAGATTTTCTTTCCTCATCACCCTATGTAAAATTTCAGTTCTCCCACTTGCTCCTGAGCATTATTCTCCTACTCTTGTTTTATTTTATAGTATTTATCACTTTTTAACCTACCAGGCAATACATTTGTTTTGCATATCATTAATGTCTGTCTCCCCTACTAGATTTAGCCATGAGAAGGGCTGAGATTTTAATCAGTCTTGTTCTCTGATGTGTACCTAGCACTCAGAAGAATTGCAGGCACAGAGAGAGTATAAGCTGAGTAAATATTGGTTGGCTTTACCATAATCATCATGGACACTTGTAAATATTGAAAATTCCCAAGTCCCATCCTAAACCTACTGAATCAAAATATCAGGGTAGAGCATTATTTTATATTCATTTTTGAAAAAGCTAACCAGTTCTATATTATAGTAGCTAAAACAGTTGGAAGAAAGAACACAAGCATATAACTAAGAAAATTAGAAGTAATTTCAAATCATGGAGGACAGAATAGGGAGTAATAAAAGGCATATTACAATATATCTACTATCAAAGACCTGTGTGACTTTAAGCAAGTCACTTTATTTCCCTGGTCCTGAGTTGACTCATTTTTAAGAGTAGAGGGATGAGTATAATAATCTCCAGAATTCCTTACTGTTCAGATCCCCTCTCTGCCCAGTATCATAAATACCTCATCTTGTCTCCAACTTGACCATCCCACATTTAGGAATAATTAACTAGTTGAGGAGAAATGGCTGTTTTTTTAATGTAGACATTAATTCTGTCCTATAAAGCATTTTACTGAAATTCTTGCACCTTTAAGTCCTTTAAAGGGAGTTTTAGGTACAAAGAGCCTTTTATCAAGGTGATCAATGGGCAACTCTCCACTTTCTGATTTGACCATCTCTGTAAGCAGGTGTTTGGAGGGTGGGATGAGGAAGTGTACTAAGGAAGCATAAGACAGGGTCTTGATAATCAAACACAAAGCATAGACTTCCTATATTTCTATAGTAGAACATTTGTTTTACATTTAGTTTCATGTTTTATTGTGTGTGTGTGTGTGTGTTTTAATTTTCTTTTACCTATTCTGTACAAAATATTCAAGGGGTTTCATTGCCATGCAATTTGGAAAATTAAGCCTATTTTCCCAACAGAGTTATTCTTCATTTGTGTGATTGCATTTCATAACTGAAAAGGAGCTGCTAATAATCATACATTTCATTCCTGACAGCCTCCCTTTGTTAATTAGTGCTCAACAGCATCACAATAATTAAAAATTTTAAAGCTGCATTAGATTGCAAATCAAGGATATGTTTATAGAAAATAAGGGTTGTGGAATTAAACACTGAAATTAAGCATTGCTTCCAATTAGAAGGGTGTAGGTAAAGTAATTGGAAACAAAATTCTAAAGTGAAAGAGTCCTAGAGGCTGCCTTATTTTGCCTCTAATTATAACTAGGTAAGTCCAGTATGTTGAAGATTTCATAATCTGAGACTTTCACAACCCACCGGGTCAAGGATTTCTTTGATGTGGTTTATTCGGAGGTTTCATGCAACATTGAAAGTTTATTTTCCTTTCTCCAGCCTTTAATGAAAATAGAAGATTGGTTCATCTGTTTATTTAATACCTCCAAACATATCAGTGGGATTCAATGTTTCACTACAGAATTTGTGTTCTCTACTAAAAGTTAATCTGATTCCTTTGCTCTCACCATAGAAGACTGAGGTTATTGTCTGCCATCTTTCTAACATATACTCATTACATGACAATAATAGTACCGTAGACATTTATAGAAGGAATTCCTATCTTTTTTATGCGTATTAAGTACCAGAATGGACATCTTCACAATTATAGCTAGATGAGGTTGCAGAAAAAAACAAACAGTTGTAAATTAACTCTTTATAGCAGTGTTTCTCAACATTTAGTTAAGCTCACTACTAGCATTCAAACTGCCTAGGACATTTATTAAAAATGGTAGTTCCTAAGCCAAATACCAGAAACTTCTGAATCTGAGTTGATGGCAGTAGGACATGGGAATCTGCATACTACATAAAACTCCAAAAGTGATTATGATCTAAGCTGATGTTTGAGAAACACTCTTCTAGGGAAGAAAATTCCTCTATACATATTTGAGCCAGAAACTATTCTTTCTTCTTTCCTCTCCTCATTTCCCAGTGCTCCAGCTAATTCATATTTAATGCAACATAGTAAGTACTTTGCTTGTGACCAGGAGTCTTTTATGAGGACTCATAAAACATGAGAGTTAGGATGTTCCTTTATCAGCCTCAATCTTATTAACTTCCCTACCATTCAACATTTCCTCTGCACCAGGGCCATGGCAGGCAGCACAGTGTACAGGCTTTTTCCAGATTTGCTCTTTTCTTACCAGACATCTTTCCAGCCCATCCAAGTAGGAAGACTCATGGTATGAGCTTTGCTAGGCCGTCTCATAGCTGAGATACCTGGGACTAAATCATAGCTCCACAGGTGCCCCAGGGCTCCAGGAGCTACTCTGGATTAATCCTTTTAGACAAAGACTCAGCAACTTCTGGGCTCTTCCAGCTGTGGCATGAGCCCAGGTGTTCCCTTTTGCTACTGTGAACCTCATCTACTGAACATAACATTAGGGGACTGCCTTGTCTTCTCTAGAGAGTATGGATGTCCTTCTAAGATAAACTCCTTGGTAGGCAGGGTAATGGTAATTTTAAAGTTTAATCACTTGCTTGATCATGCAGTCACAGCACCTGACCTGACACATATTTCTCACCACACAACACTATCGATAGAACGAATAAAAACTAGTGTGAGACAGTTGGATTTTCTCCCTCTGTGTTAAGTATTAGACTACTGAGTCATTATTATAAAGGGAAAACATTGCTGTTAAATCCCTTTTTAACATCATACACTAAAATAAATTCCAGGGTGATTGAGGACTTAAATATGGTAAAGGAATCATAAGAAACATATAAATAAATGTTTAATCTAGTTTGGGGTTGTAAGTATTTTTCTGAGTAAAAACAAAGGAAAGAAACTTTAAAAAAAAAGACAGGCAAATGTAACTGTATATATATTAACTTAATTACCTTAAAATTATATATAAATAGAATTAAAAGGTTAATGTCTAAATAACAAAACTAAACTAAGGCCTGAAACCAAATCAAGGCCATAAACAAGCAGTTACACATCTGGCCAAATGATATATAAAATACTGAGCTTCATTAGTAATGAAATAAAAGTGTATGAAGATTAGATACCATTTGCATGTATCAAAATAACAAAAACTTTTAAATATAATAAAAGTAGCTTTACTAATGGTTTAATAAGGGTTTCACACATATAATGCTGGTGGAAATATAAAATGCTATAGTGTTTCTAGACAGTAACTTGTCAATATATATTAAAATCATTGAAACATTCATACCCTTTTACCCAGAAATTTCAACTGGGAGTGTTTATCCTGCAGAAATTATTAGAGATAACCAATATTTATGGACAAGGGTGTTTAAACATAATTAGATAACTTCAATAAAATCTTCATTTATATAATAGGATATTACAAAAAGATAAAAAATTTGTTTTATTCTCATTCCTCTAATACTGGGGTTATATAATATGAAAAAAGGATGTTTTATAAACTTATCATTCCTAACACTAACCACAGAAATTACTTGTATAAAGTATTTCTGGTGGGAATGAACAGAAGTGAGAAGGCCTTGAAGCTGAGTGGGAGAACTTGGAGGAGACCATGAGTTTTTGAAGGTCAAGGAACGTTGATTTACGCAAGAGAAAATGCTCTTAACCTATTATAGGGAGGATTTTAAAACATCACAAAATAATGTATATATGAAGATCCAGTTTTGTAAGATATGTTTGTACTAAATCTGCATTGAGTTGTTAACAGGAAGAGAGTTTATTTTATTATTATTTATAGTTTTCTACTATAACCATGTATTCAGAAAACAATACATGTTATTAAGGAGGAGGAGAAGCAGAACAGACTCAGTAATGGTGATTAGAAGCTTTCTGGGCCTTACTTTGCTTCCAGGGCCAGAGCGAAGATGCCAGCAGCCAGGGGTGCCGAGGCCGAGGTGCCCGTGTGGGTCTCTGTACAGTCGTTGTGCAGGTCAGCACTCGTCTGTGTGGCGCCAGAGGGGAGAGAAACATGGGAGAACATGTGAGGAGTGTGATTCTGTCCCTGGGGGAAACCACACCGAGGGCCGCATCTGTTATGATCAGGAAACTGAGCTGATTGGATTCCCTGCTTCCTTCTCTAAACCACAGACGGATGCTTGCCATCTGCTGATATTTTAGTTCACTCTCCTCTCCATGCAACTTGTCTATAATTCTGGCATCAGGGTGCCTTTTGGGGGGGATGAAGTACTCCCACTATGAATATTTTCTGCTCTGAGATTCCCAAACAAAACGCTGTCTGTAAAAAAGGGACTGTTTCAAAATCACTGTGAATCATGCTGGCCCATTAATCATCAGATCCATTGTGTTTAGTCTGGCATATTTAGAACTGCCTCACGCAAAATTCCCTGTTGCCTTCAGATTGACATTTGACTGCCTCTTCGGTACAAGAATATAAAGCCATTCTGACTTTGGCCACTTGAACTACTTGTTCAAAACTTGCTTAGTGTGTAGTTTGCACTCACTGTTTATATGATTTGATGCCCATGAGTTAGTGTCCACATCTGCACATTGATGAAAATGGTGCTTTTTCCAAATGGAAAGCGTGTTAGACTTAGACCTAGTACACTGAATTCTAAAACTGCTATTCAGTAGATGTATCCCAAGGGCAAGGCACTTTGCTTCCCCGTCTGTAAAACGAGGTTGGCATTTCCTGACTCAGATTCTGAGGCTGGAATGAGATCCTGCTTATGAAAGCATTTTTACGCAATATTATTGGATGTGAAGAATTATCTAGGCTTATTTTTAGCTTAATCGAAGGGGTTGCTGAGATGAAGGGAAGAAACCAGAGACCTCCAATCGGTCTGCCTGAAGAACCACAGTCCTGCTGGTTGAGCAAGTCGTTGGGCCAAAGGATTACTAACAAGGCACCCACCCCGGCTCCTGCTCTCTGGGTTTTAGCTAGTGATTTCCATGTGTGGGAGGGAGGTGTAAAAAAATAATCTGTTCTGTTATCACCTCCTTTGGCTTCCCACTTGGCGGGCTGAATTTCTCCAGTTATGGTGGCTCTGCCCCTCAGAGGGTTGCAGAAGCAAGGCTGCCCCCTTTACCTGCTGACGCAAGTGAGCCCCCAGAGATGACTGCTGAGGAAGCAGTTTGCGCAAGACAAAGGCTATTTATTGCCACCATCTCAAATAAAATCCACCATCTGTCTCTGTGGCTGATTACCTAAGGAGTGATCTTTACAAAGATGGAAATTCTGCCTCCTCCTTCAGAGCAGAGCAGCTCAGAGGAGGGACAGTCTGTGAAATGGTGACTCTGAATTGCAGAGCGAACCATTTTCTCAAAAGCAACTCTTGGATACACACAGGGACAACAGCAAAATATGTCTGATATGCTCCTTTCCAAGGCAATAAAATATGCCCGCCATACAGAATCCCTTGGTAGCCCTGGCTGAAGTGGCTCAGTCGGTAGGGAAGGAGTCATCCTGTGTACCGAAAGGTTATTAGTTCAATTCCCTGTCAGGGCACATGCCTGGGTTGTGGGGCTTGATACCTGGTAGGGGCATGCAGGAGGCAACTAATCCATGTTTCACTCTTACATGGATGTTTCTCTCTCTTCCCTGTCTAAAAAATAGATTAAAAAAAAAAAAAGAATCACTATTATTTGTGTAATTGAAGATGCGGGCACGAGAGGGAGGCCAATGCTTTTCAACTGAGACCACAGTTTTACTGTCTAAATTAGAGTAGTTGACAGAAGCAGGCAGAATTCCAGAATTGTGTTCCAGTGTAAAGAGGACAGTAATCCTGACAATTTTGTTGAGATGCTATTTACAGGAATTTTACAGACTTTTCAAATTCTAGTCATCTAAATGACCTGTTCTTTCATATGATCAAAGAGCTAGTTGGCTCTTTCTGTGTCAGAAGTTAAATGTGGGTTTTAAATGTTTAAATTAAAAGAGCCTCTCTATTCTCAAAGCTCCACGTGGCCCTTCCTCATCCTGCCCTTGGAGGAAAATCCAATAATTGTCCTTGGCAGTCTGACTCACGGAAGTGAAGGCACAGCCACACGTGGGCTGGGGATGCTCTCTGAGCACATACCCTTCCTGAGCTGCTTATTCAGACGCTGAGAAGTTCACCTCAGGGGAAATTCAGCCTGTTATTTTCCTGCAGGTCATTTATTCTTAGGAGAGATAGCTGGTGTATGCTCTGTATTTTTATCATCTGCTAAAGGGCAAGTCAGACCACATCCCTGCTATTAAAGGATCAACAAGTACAGGGTGATAAAGCCCCTACAATCTAGAGATGCCCTTTAAGGCTGTTTTTAGGGGGGCATCACACAAGCTGACTGGACATTTAGAGTCTTGGCTGTAGGTAATGACTGACTGGTGACTTCTCAGAGCTCAGTTTAAAAATGACTGAGAGGCAACATCTTCCAGGCAGAAGCATAATTATCTCCGAGAGAGAAAACTTCCCAATATATTCCAGCCTTTCAAGTGAGCAAAGGACGCGTCTCCCCAATTAAGACATCACACTTAAGCAAATCAATTTTACCAAAGGTACCGCCCAAAGGATTCTTGCGAATGCAAGTCATGCTCTTCTACCTAAGCAGAGAGAGTTAGACAAAAGCCACATACGATTCGCTGGTCCCTGTAATCCCCGCTGCTGTACGAGGTGGCCAGTGTGGAGGAGCACTTCTCGGCGTACCAGGGGGACAGGCCCTGCTGCGAGGCACTGCTGATGGAGATGGTGTAGATGCTGTCTGTGTACCCATCGCAGTCACAGTTATCTCCCTGACGGCCCCCGTTCCCAGATGCCCAGACGAAGATGGAGCCCTTTCCTTGTCTCCCCTGAAAGAAAAACCTGAATCTATCCCATCTGTTATCATCTGTTGGGGTCACTGTCACACCTCAACAAAATCCCCAGCAAATACATGCTGGGACAGTTATCCTGGTCTTCTTCACCTCAATCTGGTTTTCATCATGTCTTTTCCCTCAATGCTGGGAATCTTGTGAGACTCCCTATTATGAAGCCACGGGCTTCTGGCTCTGCCTGTCCGTTCTCTGGGCCCTCTCTGGGATGGGGCAGCGCTGGGGCTTGCTTGCTTGCTTTTTTATGCAGACTCATAATCTGGCCCTGAGCACTTGCTCATCTTTTTCACTCTTCCCTTGCCTTATGTCACCACCTTTGAGATTTTGAACTTCCTCTCCTTCTTTCTGCTTGAATCTTCTGGCTAACTAACAGAACAAAATAAATCCGGCATTATTCAGATCTGCTTTGCAGCTGCATTGAAAGGGACTCTTCAATTGAATGGACCTCGTCAAGGCTACTCTTTCTGTGATTTTTCAATATGTGCTCTCCGGAGTTTCTACTTTTGTTTCATCCAGTGCAGAATAAGGCCGCAGAACACTGGCGAGAATGCAATAAGCCCAAGGCACACATATTCACAGGCACGTGCAGAGCGGGCAGTAGCGCTCTGTTATATTTAAGGATGCATTTTCAGAGCATTTGAAAGAAGTCTGGGTGTAATTTATCTAGTGTGAAAATTCAAAACAGCAGAAAAATGAGAAAGGACATAATCCAGAGTATTTTTTTAAAGTATACTTTTTAGCTGAAACCGGTTTGGCTCGGTTATTAGAGCATTGGTTTGCGGACTGAAAGGTCCTAGGTTCAATTCCGGTCAAGGACATGTACATTGGTTGCGGTCACATCCCCGGTGGGGGGTGTGCAGGAGGCAGCTGGTCAATGTTTCTCTCTCATCGATGTTTCTAGCTCTCTATCCCTCTTCCTTCCTCTCTGTATAAAATCAATAAAAATATATTTTAAAAATATATAATAAAGTATATGTTTTAAGAATAATAAATCTCTATTGAATGTCAGACCCAAATGGGGAAAAATATCTCAACCCTTATCCCTCTTGAAGAATGATTTGGCTCTCTGAAAGCATTTTAAATCATAAGCAACTGCAAGAAATTGACAACCATTTCTTTTCACATAAGCTAAATGTTCTTCCCTTCTCATAATTGCCACAGTCAGGCGTCATAGCAGGCGGTGTGTGCGAAGCATCTCACCTGTTTAATACCATATTCAAACGCCTTCTGGGCGAGCCGGCCAGGCCCCTCCACCGTTTTCCCATCGTCGTTGGGGCCCCAGCTCGCACTGTAAATGTCCACGTGCCCAGGATTGAATCCAATGGAACTGGCTTCAATAGCATCGGTCACAATACCATCCAGCATTCTAATGCCTGGAGAGCAGAGCACACAAATAGTAAGTTGATGTCAGCATGTACATGTAGAATGGCATATAATGCTCTCAGTATTTATTTTTTAAAAGGACTGCCAAAAGAGTAACCACTGGATGTCCCAAATGCCTATGGCCTGCTGCTAACAGCACAAAAGAGAGATACAATCACTGCCTCCACAAACTTGCTTACCCGTTTTGTTTTGTTTTTAGAGATAACTATGTGCTATGTAGTAGCCATGGTGAGCATAGATTACAAAATGTCCCACCTCCCTCCACTATGCCAATAACCTACACGTGACAGGATAGCTTTTAGAAAGAGGCTCCAAACAGCCCTCCTTTGATATACCTGCTCATGACTATCCCACAAAGGGCTGGGGCCCAACCTGTGCCATACAGATGACTCTGTACGGGAAACTGTGGAGTTTGCAAAGGTCTAACCACAATAGGAAACTAACAAAAAGGAAATAACTCTTGTTTCTAAGCACTGATTAAAAATAACCCAGAGGCCATTCTTTTATGTGTTTGCTTAGAAACATTTTCAAGGAACATGCTTCCTTTTCTTCTAAATAACCTCAAAGATGAAATCATTGCCATGGATTTTGTTCCTGAGGGAGAGTCGTTTTTCATCAGGAGCAGGCAGGCAGATGCGGTAGCTCCTGGTGCTTTCCTGCAGGCTGCTACCCATCATCAGACTCATGTGCTCAAGTGCCAGAAAGGCAAAAGCAATTTAAACAGATACAGGAAGCTACCTGGTTATTCCTGGCTCCAGGCTTATAATGCAACAGAGTACACAGCTTCAGATTTTCACACTATAATTTACAATGGAGCACAGGTAGAAGAACACGTAATTGGCATTATTCATGGAAGTTATATGTATTTTGTTTAAAAAAATGCATTTGGAGGAAATTTCCAGCTCAATTTTGAGGTGCATGATTTTGGAACAAGTCACTTAACTTCTCTCTACCTATAGTTTCTTCAACTATAAAGTGGGGATAATAAAAGCTCACATGTATTGATGATATACTATATGTGGCTACCATTCCTCAGGCTTTAAGTGTATAAATTCATCTATCCTTCCAACAACCATTTGAGGCGGGTCCTATAATGCTCCCCATTGTAGAGGTGGAGAAACGGGGGTCAGAGATGGACAGTGACTTGCTCAAGGCCACACAGATTGAAATTGGGAAGCCAGGACTTGAGTACCTAAATATGTCCTATTAACTTCCAGGATACACTGCCTATAGTGTGTGGTTGGATAAGTGATGGCCATACAGTAGATGCTTAAAAATGAAAATTATTATATGAAAATGCACTTGGGGTAGACTATCAAAAGGTGGAGTAATGGAAGAAAATTCGTAGACTTGGAATGAGAAGTCTTGTTTTTTAGCTCTCCACTGCCGCAAGCTGTTACCTCGAGAATCTTGCTTCTGATTCTCCTTCATAAAATAAAGAGATCAGGTGATTCTCTCATAAACTATAGCTGCTTAGTTTATTATGATTTAAAAAATGAATTCCTTTTCTAGGTGATTACATAATCTGTACTTCTTCATTTTTGTCAAATTAACATAGCACTTTGATGGTATTAGTGTCAAAGTAATTAGGAATGACAAAATATGAGTGTGCTGTATTAGGGAGAGAGATCTTATATATACCAAGATGGATATTTATTTCATTTATAAGAAGGAATACAGTCTCTGTGGGCTCTTTCAGATCCAGTTTCCACCACCCTTTTCCACAGGAACTGTATCAATGGGTTCTCTTGTCTTCCCACTGGGTTCCACCAACTGAGGGCAGCAGCAGGAGGTTGGGGGGTGAGGGGAGAGTGTGGTACTCACTCCCCTGATTCCTTCTTGTCTGGAAATAGCTTGGTGGCTGTACTCAAGGCTGTAACTCCTGTCCCATGATTCTCTCCTATGACCACAGCTTTCTCTCTCCAGTTTCCACTGACTCCTTCCACTTGCTCCTTTAGGCCTAAAGGTGGTAACATCTGCCTACATCTGTTAGCCCTTTGAACTCTTGTAAACAGTTCCTTTATTTAATTGCCTTGATGGAACCTACCATATTTACCCACAAAAACATCGACTCAAACAACTAGAGATTCAAAATTCTTGCTATTGAAAATAACCTTTGGCTTCTTAATATAACAAGCATGTATTCTTTTTATTTTAAAAAACTGTTCTTTGCCATGAAATGAAGAACTGCAGAATGCAGAGGCAGGGAAATTTTTGCCTGAATTTCTTCCCCCTCTTGTTCCCTGAATAAGCACACAATAAGAAAGCTTCTAAATCAGAAAACAGAGAAAATTATATTTGTTTTAAAAGCTATTCAACATATCAAACCCCCTCCCCATATTGGCCTATATTTAGCTATCATTTTCTAGGAATCCAGATCTATTAATTCATTTGCACATCGCATCCAAGTTCTACAGCACATTTTGTATGGAGTCCATTTCTTCCTCAGGTTATTGAAAACCCCTTCCCCACCTCAATTACACCAAGTAATGCAAGATTCAAGTTAAAAGTGCAAAACTAGGCTGGTCGGTGTAGCTCGTGGTTAAGCATTGACATATGAACCAGGAGGTCACAGTTAGACTTCTTGTCAGAGCAGATGCCTTGATTGCGGTAGTGGGCATGCAGGAGGCAAAATCAATGATTCTCTCTCGTCATTAATGTTTTTCTTATGCCCTCTCACTTACTCTCTGAAATCAATATATATATATATATATATATATATATATATATATATATATATTTTTTTTTTTTTTTTTTTTAAGTGCAAAACTACAGGAACGGCCCTCTGCTTTACCTCCAACTTTGGAATTATATGCAACTCCGACGCCACACTTGTGATTATTGGCTTGCATGGCAATTTCTCCTGCACATCTGGTCCCGTGTCTGAAGATTAAAAAAATAGGAATTATAAAACATAAATGAGGACAAACATTTGTTCTGTATATGAATCCATGGTACATGGATATGTCAACTTTTTAAAAAAATATATTTTATTGATTTTTTACAGAGAGGAAGGGAGAGGGATAGAGAGTTAGAAACGTCGATGAGAGGGAATCATCGATCAGCTGCCTCTTGCACACCCCCTACTGGGGATGTGCCCGCAACCAATGTTCATGCCCTTGACCGGAATTGAACCTGGGACCTTTCAGTCCACAGACGGACGCTCTAGCACTGAGCCAAACCAGTTTCGGCTATGTCAACTTTTTGTCTGCCTTTTCTCTGGTTTCTTCCCATCAGCATTAGATGAAATACAGGTGTTATATGAAGGGCATAGGCACAGCAGCCAGAGTATATGAGTGTATGAGTTCACATTTTAGCTTCTGCCACAAACTAATGGTGTGACCGTGGTATCCTCAAAGGGTTGTGAGATCACATGAGATACTGTGTATAGAGGGCTTAGAATAGTGGTTGGTACATATCGATAGTAAGAACCTAATAAGTGAGATATGGATATTATTATGAGGAACTCTGATACTTTTCAGAAATTGTTTGCAAATAAGTGGCTTCTGCCCATACTTTCTGGTAGTGAAATGGCTTCTCACTTTCCCTCCTGGGGACATTTTTGGATTAAGTTACCCTGAACCCACCTCAGTAGGATATGATAGAACAGAGTCTTCTCCCAAGATATCCTCCTCCTCTAACCACACACCAAACTAAAGCATTGAGGGTTTCCTGGTACTCAGAGAAGTCTGAGATTTTAAAAGGACACTGCAGGCTAATTGGGAAACCGGGAGACTTCTACACTCTGATTGGGACCAGAGGCCTGAACAAGATGGGGCTTGCAATCAGGCAGAAAGGGTAATTCATGATTTCTGAGAATTTGGAGGGGGAAAAATCCATCTATAACCATCTCTAATTCAGACCAAAGCCCGCCCTAGTTGGTATGGCTCAGTTGGTTGGGCATCATTCTGTGCACAAAGGATTTCTAGTTCGATTCCAGGTCGGGCCACGTGCCCAAGTCGTGGGCTTGATCCCTCTGTTAGGGCCACACAGGAGGAAGCCAATCAATGTTCTGCTCTCACATCTATGTTTTTCTCTCTCTACCTCCCTTCTCTCTCTAAGAATATATTTACCATAAAAAAGATAATAAAACAGGACAAAGCCCACCATTAAGCATCAGTTCTGAAAGTGTTCCCTTTCTTGCCCTGACCTCAGAAGGGCCTGTAAATTAAGAAAATTTTCAGGTAAATTTGTTGATTTTATGACATATTCTAATATGCAAGCACCCGAGAGCATTGTGAAGGCTGTTGGTGCCTTGGAGGAGCTGTTGACCAGATATGCTGACACAGAGGAAAAGAGAAGAAGGATCAGTTAGTTCTGAGCAACATGGTCAGCCAGCTACTTTTATAACATGTGACCCTAGACATCTATTAATTTTGCCTGGTAAAAAATATATAAATCCAAAATTAATTGAGTAATCCAAAATAATTCTGTTTCACTTATCTCTTTTTCTTAAAGTACCAGATGATTTCCCACTAAAAGATAGTCCTGCTTCTTTTGCATATTGGCTAAGAATCCTGCATCAGAACAATGTAATTATCTGGAATGCAAGGTCTTCCCTAGTGCAGCAACATCTGCTTCTTTTTTGCCTCCTTGAATTTTCCCCTTTTGGGAAATGGCCCTCCCCTCGCTCCTGGTGATTCTTTTTCTCTCACGAGGCTCCTTCTCCCAGACAAGCTTTCGATTAATGCAGACTATAAAGAGAATTCTATTCTTTTTTCAGAATCTTCAGCTTTAGGCTCCATCTGCGCCACGTGGATCTTGTTGCTAGGCAAGATTCTATTGAGAATGAAATTTTAGGTGAGCAGCACTAGGAAATGGAGACAAAGTATTTGGTGTCCTGATGGCACATTACTTGAGCTCCTAGATCTTACAGTGCTTGAAGCTAAAGCATTCGTTAGGTGAAATTATTTTTTAATTGGATATTATTTAATCTTAGAGTTAGGATTCTCTCACTTGCAACTGAAACTATCCTGACCATCATACCCATTTTCTACGAAATGTGTTCACATTGAATACATAGAAGGTGCCGTATTTGATGGATTAGCCTTTATACAAGGAGAAATCCAGTTGTCATCCTCCAGGAAATCTATTCCCAACAGTCTCCACTGCCTATATTTATATTTAAATAGTATGGGAGGCATGGCCCAGGATAGCAAAATCTCTCATCTGAGCCAACAAAATTAGCTCGTTTGAAAACATCCCTAGCATTGTACACCTGTCCTATAAATGATGCAATATGACATGACCTGTTATTTATCTCTCCTTACACATTGAGGACCATTTTCTTGAAAGGTGTAGTAGGATCATGCTACAAATAGGGGTTAGTATTTTTTCCTCCACTTTTCCTCAGTTCCCACTTGATCCTTTGAAAAAGGAGGAAGACTTTATCAAAGTGGTTCTACCTCATTCTTTATAGACCTGTAGCCTTTTCCCTTTCCTTAGATCAGGCTCTGAGGTAAAATAACCGTCTGTCATCTTAGAACAATGGTAGCAACTGACATTTAAACAAATTGACTTTTAGAAAAATATTCCACAAGTTAGTTTAAAGACTACTGTTATGCTGGTTAAAATGTCCTTGTCACATATGTTACTAACTAGAATCTGTAATTGGTATTGAAATGTGAATACAGATTCATGCCAGCTTAATAGTAAGAGTTACCTGCACCTTTAAGATTTTATTACTTAGTGATTCCTTGTTTGATTTGCAGAGGAGAATTCAAATGCAGCTTCTATTAATCTTATTTATACGTTACTTGAGCTTTTCGATCTTGCACTGCTTAAAGCTAGAGCATTCCTGGGGTTAAATTGTTTTTTTAATCTCCATATTATTTAATCTTTGAGTTATAGCAGCAACACAGATAGTTTGGTGCCATAATGCCCAATGACAATAGATCTCAAACTGTTATATGGCCAAGATAACATAGGGCATTCAGTTTCCAAACCTGAGGGATTAATTTCTGACAACATGATTGAAGGATAACTATTTTTTTATGATACCCTCTGAAAAATTATGAGGATGCTACATTTTTGGTTCATAGTCAAAAGGATCCTGAGAGATAGTTGCTTATTGTATAATTTTCAGCTAGTAGATTCTGAACTGGCTCAGAAAATTGACTTGTCTCTGCTATTTCCTTTTAAATGGTAATATTCTTGTCATGCTGATTTTTCACTGAAAAGAGGTCTATCTTAATTCTTAAGTGAGAAGCTTTAATCACCATCACCATCACAGCAAATACAATTTTTTTTTTATGTCTCAGGCACTATGCAAGCCAATTACATATATAAGCTCATTTAATCCCCACCGTAACCCAATAAAATAGATACTACTACTATTATTCCTTTTTAATAGGTGATAAAACAGAGGCAAAAGAAGTTAAATAATTTACTGAGTCACTTAACTGTTAAGTGGCACATCTAATATTTGATCTCAATCTAGCTGCAAAGTCTGTACTTAATTGGCTACTCTACAATCACTGTATACTATGTAGGAGATCCAGGCTATGCTCTGAAGCTCGGAGTTCTCAGGACAAAATAAGTACATTTATATGGGCTACTTCCTTATGGGCCTTTGGAGCTCTGTGAGTTGGAAGAATCTATAATAATAAAAATGTAATATGCAAATCGAACGACTGAACAGCAGAACAACTGTCCAGATGACCTTCTGGACGACCACACTATGACACCCACTGGCACCAGGCCAGCCAAGGCAAGGCGATCACCCCATAATCACCCCACAGAGAGAGGCTAAGACCACCCTCTGTGTAGTGATCAAGGGGGGGGCGGTAGTGTCCGTGATTGATTGCCCTAAAGAGGGAGGCCCAGGCCTCCAGCCAGAGGTGCAATTGATGGGGGGCCCGGGGATTAAGGATGCTCTGCATGAATAGTTCTGAGAGCTCAAATAAAGGCACTTTAAAGTACTACACCCCAGCCCCCCACTCCACTAGCAAAACCACCTTTACTCACTTGTTCTCATTTGTGGGATCATAACGAGGAAATGGATCATGGTCGTTATCATTAAAATCATAGCTAGCCTCTGGATCCTGAAAAAACAACAAAAATAACACTTTAGCATCATAAAAAATGACACAGCACTTTACAAGCCTTCTACTCCTACCCCTTTCCAGTTTGGCTGATAGCTTGAAAGTCTGCATTTCAGAGTTTCTGGCCCAGTGGTTGATCATGTGTTAGAACCATAAACCAGGAAGAGACAGAAAGCAAACTAGTATCCAGTTCTCATTGAACGTTACCAAACCAATAGCTCATGGACACTCATAGGATATGAAAACCGGAGGAATCAGTTCAGTTAATTCTACCACCTCATTTCCTAAACCAGAAAATTGAGGTCCAGAGAAGTTGACTGGCTTAACTAAGCTACCGAGCAAGTTAGTAACACCATGACACTCCTCTCTCTTATGAATATAGGTGGGAAAGGGTGGATCAGATTCACAGCCATCTCTTTCTGCATCCCCAGGTATAGCAAGAGAACGTGTAGTTTAACTCAAGAGGGTGTGCTTGAAGTTCAAGACAGACTTCCAGGTCCCACCCTCTTTTCAACCAGATGGCTACACTTAAACATCTCCCACTAGGAATTCTATCACCACTACTGCCAATTCTCCATATTTTCATATCTTTTCATAATTTCTACTTTCTGCTAATCTTTATCTCTTCTTTTCCTTCCCCACCCCTCCCCTTTGCTCTTTAGCTGTGGAATGTAGCTGAGTGGAAAGGATAAGAGAAAGACAAGAGACAATGTTAACGATGAAGCGCTGATCTAGATGAAGGCCTGAGCTATTATGGAAAGCTTCATAAATAATTAAGTAAATCCTTTTCATTTACTTATTTCGCACTTCTTAAAAGCTTTCTTTTATCTGCTTGTCCTTTTTGCACTGTGTGATGCATGCTTTGAATTTGCATGGAAGCCATCCTATTTATATAGCTTCACAGTGTGAGAGATGCTGACTCATGAGGGAGGTGAAGAGGAAGACTGATCTCGGGCATCAGGCTTGATTTGAAGTCACCCATACTGAATGACATGGAGTGTGAATGACTTTTAATCATTTACTTGGCGTAGGTGCCTTTTCCCACTCCCAGTACATATGATTTTGTATAGTCCTTAGCTCCATAATTTTTTTCTATGTCCCCTGATACAGTAAATTCATATGGGCTGCCAGGGAGGGGAAAGAAATGATAAAACACTGGGCCAACATCTGAGCAGCTTCCTGTTTGAGGGACGGAAAGCCCTAACTGTGTCTTTGTAGACAGTTCCAGACTCACGTAATTGGCATAGATGTCTGTGTGATTCCACTCCAAGCCATCATCCAGTACAGTGATAACAACTCCTTTGCCAGTGATGCCTTTTTGCCAAACAGGTATCACATGAAGATCCAGCTTGGGCAGGAATGCAGCCATCCTAGTATCTTGCTGATAAAGAAACACAAGGAAGCATTGGTAAAGGCATAATTTCCTTGCTATAAAATAAGAAGTAAAGCCACAGTCTGGAGACCCATCTTTGTTTTTCCTGAAGTCACTCTCCTCTTTAGAAGCAGGCAATTAGGTGAAATAAAAACAAAGCTGAGGATAGGGTCCAGTGAATCATCAGAGTGCTGCTCTTCCCAGCTGTTCCAATGGAAAATCACTCCAAAGAATGAATCACCCTGTGACCTTCTCTTTGAGGTTCATGACTTCAGAGAAGACATTTGTCCCTAACTTTCTTTAATTTATAATGACATGTTCCAGGCTTTCCTCTACCTATAGCCCATGTTTCTATCTCCCCAAAATCCTAAGCTTCTTTTGCCACAACAAACCTACTTTACATTGTCTTGTTCACCATCATTTGTGTATGTTCTTTATAACTTTTTTAAAAGGAAAAACAGAACCAAGAATGACCAGGATGTTGTGGTCTCACCAGGACTTGCAATTTGATTGTCTATTTACAAATACGTGTGATTTAGGGAGTGAGTATCTGTGGGAGGAAATTTGGATAGCATTTCTTTTGCAGATAGCATTTTTTTTTTTTCAGATAGCATTTCTGAAATGTGTGGGACTATAGGAGAGAAGAGCTGGACAGCAAGGGAATACAGACCTGAGCACATCCAATGCATTTGAGAAAGTAACATTAGAAGCATGCCAGGTTTCTGGTAAAGGGGTCAATATGATGTTTATAAATAAAAATCAAAAGTTCCAATGAGCGGACTGCTGATACACCTCATAAAGAGGTGAGGAAAGACCTTACTAACCAACATGTAGCTGAGTTACAGGAGGCTGGAACTACAGACAGATTGTTGGCTAAAGCCGGAGAAGAAGGTCTCTACGTCAGTCACAAGAACAATCATAGAATGTGGTTATTAAGAAGAGTAGGGCCTCTGGAGCTCTGAATTATGAGCCACTAGTAACCAGATGACTTTGGCAAGTTATTCAACTTGCTAGTGTCTCTACTTCTTCATATGTTAAATGGGCAGAATTGCTACTACTTATATCTACAACATAATGTTATTGTAAAAATTAAGTGAGTTAATTCATGTCAAATAATATAGAATAGTATTTGGCATATAGTAAATGCACAAATGTTAGCTAACGAGACTCTTTCAATGAGCAAGTAATGCTTAGGTTAAGAAAAGGTCAAAAGGAATTGACCCCTTTGTGGTCCACTATGCAATAAGAATGTCCAAACCTTAGCTTATGACCATCATAAAAATGGATCGTTTATAATATTCTTAACATATATTACTATTCTGGAGGCTTTATACTAAAACAGAAGGGAGAACACTTTGTACGCTAGCAACACCCACATACCAGTAAGGACTTGGTAACTATTATATCTTAAAAGTAGAATGGTTTGCAAAACTGGACATCTGCAAATAGATATCTTTTATCTTTCCTTGTATTCCTCACATTGTTAAAAAATTCTCACCTGTAAGCATGTAAAAATTGTCACTCAGAGATTTATATACAGAATCATGTTTACTGTTTTCTTTGAGTGATAGTTCACAAGAATAACTTTAACCAAATTTGTTATTTGCATTAATACTGTTTTTGGAATCCCTAACTTGCAAGACATTATTCTAATGGACTTACTCCAGGAAAGTTTAAGAAGGCATGAAGGTAGCCCTAGCTGGTTTGGCTCAGTGGATAGAGTGCCGGCCTGCAGACTGAAGGGTCCCAGGTTTGATTCCGATCAGGGGCACATGCCCAGATTGCAGGCTCGATTCCCAATGGGGACGTGCAGGAGACAGCCAATCAATGATCCCTATCATTGATGTTTCTAACTCTCTCTCCCTCTCCCTTCCTCTCTGAAATAAATAAAAATGTATTAAAAAAATTTTTTTAAAAGAAGACATGAGGGTAACTCCCCCCACCTCCCTTCACCCCTGCTGCCAACCATAGCAGCTGAAGATATGTGTTTCAGATACTCTCAACTAGTAAAACAGAAGATCCAGGTCATGGAAGGTCCGATTAGCCCTAATCTCCAAGTAACACAGCTCTCTGCTGAATTCTCCATCATTAAAACAAATCTATTGTGCAGATGTAATAAAATAAATAATGAGGGTCCTACACAGTCCTGCAGGTACTTACCAAGTACCACTGCTGCTTCCACATTGGATCATTGAAGAGATTATCTGCTGAGTCTCTCAGAACTGAACGTTTACTTCTCTCCTTTCCGTACTGTTGTTCAGCCCATATAACCTACAAGGAGTTTTATAGCAAAAAATAAAAAATCAACAGCCAAATAGCCACCTCTGTGTAATCATCTTTCCTCTAACTAGGCCTAATACCCTTCCCATCAGAGTTTAGGCAGCTCCACAATGTTTATGTTTAACTACAGATCAAACTGGCAGCTCAGTGAGAAGGATTTGCCCTCTGGGGAGATGAACATTTCCTCTATTACAGTCAAGTGAACCTTTAGGCGGAGGAGAAGTGATGATTGCCTCAAATTATTTACACTGTGATTACAGTGGGAGTAAAAGTTCAGCCTGCTTTCATCAGCAAATGGACCATAATACCCATTTTTTTATATTGAGGTTCCCGGACTCTGTAGGTGAAAATTTGTTCATGTTCATGGAGTGAGTCAACAGACTAAGAGATCCCAGAGACTGTTTTTATAGGTAATGCTCTTACAGCTTAATTTCTCTTCCATTACACACAAAGGTAGAAATAGCAAATGTTACACAAGACAAGGAAGCTGCTGTGTCTTTGCAAATCTGGGCTTCAGCCTCCTCCTTAAGAGTATTTAATATAAGAAACAGATCCAGAGCGATGAATGAGCACTACTGACCATGCACACTTACCATTAATTTAGTCTCATGTATTATGCAAAGAGATCTGACAGTACAAAAATTACCTGCCCCACATTTACGGCATAATCCTATTATACTTGAGGCCCTGAGAGGGAGAGGGGCTGCCTTGTGGCTATATTCTTTAGCAGATAATATCCTGTTCTTATTTTGCTGGGCAACAAGACTGTTTCCTATCCAAAGCATATCCTCCTCTCTGTGGTAACCATGATGACAGCCCAGGGTTTGTTGGGATATTGTTAATGTGAGGATACTTAGGAGTCATCCAAAAATAAAAACTAAAAAATAATTTGCAACTGAAGGATAAAATTATCCACTAAGGCTGAATTTTCAATTAGAAAATATACTGCAAACCAATTATAAGTATTGGAGGGACTTGAGAGCTAGAAATTAATCACTATAATTTATTTTTAAAGTGCCTATATTTTCAAGCTTAATTATTTGGCTTAACATAAGCCTGTCTCTGAGTTGGTCTTTGAAAGCTGGCTGCTAGGGAATAAGAATTAATTTTTGAGGAAGAGAGTAACTTGTAGTTGGAGATTTCTTTAACAGCCTTATAAAGATGGAGAGTTGCTGCATTTCAGAGGGCTAATTTGAAAAGATATCATTCCCCATTAAAAAAGCAATAAAATGACGAAAGCAATTTTTTAAATGGAATATAAAAAGAAGCACTCTGGCATTCAATTGTTGGAAACAGTTGTGATCAGTGTCACTGACTGCAGATGCCTTATTAATCTCTATAAGAGCAAACCAAGTTGAACAGAATAAAATGGTGCTCTTACTATTATGTGTATAATAGGTATTATGCACTTAATTTTATAAATAATCCTTTTGATTTGGAAACAGCATTAATGATCACTTAGTCCACCTATCCTCTCAAGCTTCTATGGGTTCTAGGATTTTTCCTACAATTAAATTATTCTGGAGATAATTTTATAGGATCATACAGACTTACTTCTTCTGAAGTGATGTTAGAGAGTACATTCTTAGCTCTTCATTATTCCTTGAGATGTCTCCCCTAAATCAACTATTAAGGAAATATCTCAAGAATGGAACTCATGCATCTGTTCATTTTAGTGAGATTATTTTAAGTAATAATAACAGTTAGGGATGCTCCACTCTATCTAGTTTTCTCCTATGAAGATGAGGAGGGAGGTCAGTTTGATATCCTTGTGCATTGCTGCCAGGCATGCCTTTACTAAACAAGGAAGTCTCTCTTGTTTTGCCCAAGGATTAAGCTTAGCCAGAGTCCTGAAAATTGTCTTTCTTCCCAGAGCCCACAGATAATAAGCTACCTGTTTTGGGATGGTGAAGGGAAGTCTTCTCTGGACAAGAAACTTTTGAAGTAGTATTCTGGGCTCTAATTTGATCTCCCTCTTCTAGCCATTAATGCCAGTAAAAGCCAGTAATGGTTGTGTATAAGCATGTGCCACTGTCTGTGGTCTTGAGACAGCATTCTTTGTCAGGGTGTGGTTGCATTTTACATTGGAACAGTAGTAACCTAAACCCAATTATTCCCTACCCTCATATCTGTCTTATTATTTTCTTAAAAATTTTTAATCCTCACCCAATGATATGCTGCTGTTGATTTGTTTTTGTTTTTTAGAGAGAGAAGAAAGGGTAGGAGAGAGAGAGAGAGAGAGAGAGAGAGAGAGAGAGAGAGAGAGAGAGAGAGGGAGGGAGAGAGACCCTCCTGTACGTGCTCTTACTGGAGATTGAATAGAAATCTAGACATGTGCCCTGATAGAGAATTGAACCCACAATCCTTTGGCACATGAGATGACCTTCCAGCCACCTGAACTATCTGGCCAAGGCTGTCTTATTTTTTTTTTTTAAATTCTATTAGTTGCAGAACAAATGAAAAAGCAAATTATTTTTACAGGGTTTATGAATTCCATATACTTTCAACAGTTCTACCACCTTCTTTTCACTTATACATTTCTTTCTAGGAAGTTGAAAGTTTGTGTTCTGTCTCTCACAAAAATTTTGTAAATCTCTAGCCTGTCCTAGGTAACAGAAATCATGTGTACAGATATTAGTCTAGACAGGATAAGTTTCCATCAGTATACACATTTTCGAGAAAAGACAACATTGTATATGCAAACTGCAATATTCCCAATATAGTTAACATTTCTATTAATGTTTTCTGACCTTAAAACAGACTTTAAAAATCAATGGTTTTATTATACATACATTCAGATTATCCCCGTATTATTTACCTATATTCATTTTACACATTTTGTGCTGTTGTCTAATCATTGAATATTTATTCAAACCAGGTTAAAAAAAAGATAACATGTTTTGTATCAAACAATATAATACTTAGGAAAACATTTACTTATGAGACATAGATTTAAAGCACCCTCATAAATACTAGTTTTCTATACAACCAAACTAAAATGGCAGGATGTCATTTTCAATTACAGTGAAATGTTATTAACAGCGAGGCTCATATATTTCTTTGGCATCCCCACATCAGATATTGAAGTGCTTGGTACATAACAGGCATAACATAAAAGGTTGTTGATTGATTGTATTGTCAAACATTTTAATTAGAGCTGCCACTTTATTTTCAATATTTACTTTCATCCCTTTAAACTGATTTGTGAGTGTGTGTGTGTGTGTAATTTAGATAATTCAACCAATTCAATACAATCCAGTTATGTATAATTTCTACAACCCTGTGGAAATAAACACCACAGATGAATAATTGTGATCATAATAAAGAAGAATCACATTTGCAAAGTGCTTTTGCTCTTGTGGGCAATCACATAGAGAGCAGATAAGTCAGGTTGTTTTGAAGAAAATGCACAACACTTACACGATCATCATCAGATAGTCTCTTAGTGATATGCAGGGCACTCCTTCGAGACCTCCGGGGGTGGTTTTTATGTCTGAATAAGTAATGATTCTCGAGAGATCCGATCTATAAAATAAAATAAATTAAAAATAAAATCCACTTTCCAAAATAAATATATGGCGTCAATTGAAACCAAGCTAAATTAGAGACAGCTTTTTATTAAGCCCATTCCTTGTACATGAAGATGACTGTTTTTGTCATGAAGAAGATACTGTTAGAAGCCATCCCTCTCTGGTTAGTGTGTTGACTGAGATGAATCTCGTGAAGTTATCACTTGGACTCCCATTATACTTGGGGGCTGAGGTGCTTCTGTTTCACACATTTCAAAGGAATGCCATTTGTTTTTCTATGAAACAATATTGTGTAATTGGGTAGACATTTCTTTTTTAAAAACCCATTTTTTATCAAATTCATTCTTTCAGAGAACAATAATCTATGGAAAGCAAGAAAACCCTTTACATACTATATATGGTCAGTGCCACATTCACTTGCAACAATTTGTTGTTGTTGTTATCAAATATAGCCATTGACTCCATAGTGATAACTGTTACAAGCTACTACAATAGTAGTGACCATTAGACTTTCCACTAGTTTACAGCTTTGGGGGAAAAGCCAACATGCCACATTTAGGGCAGGTGTCAACTCCCTTGGGTGACTATCAACACCTTTGGTTCACTTAGAACTATGTTCATTATTCTTTTAAGCTAGTGTCCATTTATTCAAAACAGTACTTAATTTGCAGTGACCAAATTCACTAAATGCCCTGTATTTCTTTTTAAGTTAAGAGACAGATAACTGGCAATGTATTATTTCAGAAGAACTGTATTCTTTAATTTGGTGGTTCTCAACACCTAGATGATTTTTTAAAATCCTCACCCAAAGACATGCTTATTGATTTTAGAGAGGTGGAAGGGAGGGAGGGAAGGAGGGAGAGAGGATGAATTATCAATTGGTTGCTCTGATTGGGGGTAGAACGTGAAACCCAGGTATGTGTCTTGACCAGGAATCAAACCCATAACCTTTTGGTATATGAGAGGACACTCCAAACAACTGAGCCATACCAGCCAGGGTATCACCTAGAAAATTTTTAAATAGAGATCCTTAGGCCCTGCTCAAAGCCTAAACTTCAGGGAGTAATCTGTTATAAGTTCTAGATTGAGTTGGGCAGGAATAACAGCAGCTATAGGAAAGGTCACCAATGCTTAGCTCTATTTCTGCTATTAAACTGGTTTTGCTCACCCCCCAATCCTGAGACCTTAAGGAGTTCAGCTAATTTAGTGAAAACAGAGGGAGAAATAAGCAGAACCTGGAAAGCATTATTAGCTTTTTACAAAGAATTGTTATGTTTTAGACATTTGTTAGTAATGCCACTTTAACTGAAAATGGCTAGAGAAAATATAGCATATGCAAATCACGTGTAAATATATTAATAGTTTTTCCTACTATTTTTTTAAAGCTTATAACTATGCCATTCCTTCCTTGAGGATCCCACCAAGAATTCTGATTTATTGTGTTTTTAATTTTGGTATTTGTGAATTTGAAAGGCAAATTCCTATAATGAATGGTCCAGGTTTGGATGTATGCCCAGGGCTAACAGGTGAGTAAAGGAAGAGGGATTAGTTTTTGCTCTCTCCCACAATCTCCTTTCACAGTTACAGTGTTATTTAGTTGTCCAAGGTTATAGGATTAAGCCCCGAGTCTGCCCCCCATCCTTATAGGACACACAAGATCTCCATCATGTCCCTGATACACACCAGTACTATTCTGCTCACTACACACTCACTCACTCAAATACAGTTCCTTGCAGTTTCCAAATTACTACTGAGCAGCTTTCTTTGTATCTCTGTTTCCCACAAGCGATTTTCGATGTCTGGAGTGCCTCTCCAATCTCATCATGCTTTCCTGTCAGACTCTGACTTCTTCCTAAACACTGTGCAAGTGTTCCCTCCTTTGTACCCTCCTCTTTCATCCCTCCCCAATTCCCTTGCCACTTCAATCCACAAAGATGGAGACTCTGGGTACAGCTATTATTACACCAATGACATGCCATTACTACCATTTGTTTCTAAACCAGTCTCCTCTAGATTCTTGACTTCTTTGGCAGTCTTTTCCTCCTTGTCCTCAGCCCCTAAAAGGGAGGCTGGCACAGAATAAGGTGTGAACAGAAGCACAAGTTTTGGCCTGCTGCGGGGACACAGAGAAGTCGGTCTGTGTACTGACTTCTCTTTTGGGCATTTCAAAAGCAGAAAGAGTTGGAGCACGAAGCTTCTGGCGAAGGGAAGGCCTGTCCCCTGGTGTATTCGCTCTGTGCCGTAGCCTACGCCCACGAAGATTACTCATCTGTGACTTCGGGCACAGCTCTGCCACCACCTCCAGGAAAAACCGCGCCAAAATATTTTACAACTCCCTCCTCCTCCGCTCGACTCCCAAGGGGTGAGGCTTGAGTCTAAGCCAAGGAACACTTAGATTCGAACTCACATCCCGGGGTTTTCTCCCCTGAATTAAGCAGCTAAGCAGCCCATCCTGCCCCCTCCCCCCCCCCCGCCACCCCCCCCCCCACGCCTACCCTCCCCCAGCTGTCTATTAACACAGTCCTCACTTGGAGGCAAGTTTCCCTCCCAAGCCGAAACCCCCAGGGATGCATTTGACGGTGGAACAGGAAAGACAGAAATCCTTTCTCCACAGTCAGCTTTGAAGTGTGACCCTTTGGGTGGGGGGTAGGAGTGCTGCTGACCAAGCAAAGTTGTGAAGCTCGGACTTTGCAAGTTTTCGGTGAATTCCCCGGTCGTGAACAGTTGGTCCCTATCTTTTACCCATCTTTCCCCACCTCGCCAGCTCCCCAGGCCTCCTAGGGAGCCCCCGGCCTCTGGATCGCTAGTCCCGGCCGCTGGTGCTCTCCCCACGCCCCAGACGCGCCCCCAAAGGCTTCCGCGGACACCTCCAAGCCTGTTTAGCCCCTTGCAAACAGGACGTGGGTCTGATGCTGCCATATTGAAAGGAAGGAAACAGCCGGCTCCTGACGCAGGCTGGCGGAGTCCCAGGGGACGGAGCGCACTGCCTCTCCCGGGGGCGCTTTGCTGGTAAGAGCTTGCGTGCATCTCAAGTTCGGTGAGTAAGTGTGGAGGGATTTTTTTTTTTTCTTCTTCAAACCGTGCGGGAACGGATGTCAGTTCCTGAGCGAGCAGCAGCCAGAATACGCTCTACCCAGCTGCAGCCGCTTCGATCAGCCTGGCTGCGCCCAGCCCAAACAATAAATAATGCAAGCGTTTTCGCTCCCAGCCCGCGGGGGCGGGAGCTGAAGAAGCTCCCTGCTCTTTGCCACGGGGGCTCAGGAGGGTGCAGCGGGGAGCTCACTCTCTCCGGAGACCGCGCGGCAGTCCCGCCCGTCCCCTGGGACCCCAGAAAGTTTCTTGAAAAGTGCAAACTCTTACCTGACCCAGAAGGTCGTAGCCCAGTTCTTCCGCGATGGCCGAGGCTGCCTCCGGTCCCCCGGGGATCTCCGCTGCCCATTCGTTCACAAACTGCCTCCTCGCCTTCACGATGCTCAATGCACACCAAGCGCAAAAGAGAGCGAAAGCAGTGCACTGCAGAGTCCAGGCTCCTCGCTGCATGGCTCACACACTTCGCTGCCACAGAAGTGGGAGGCAGAAGCGGGGAAGGAGCAAGATAGGAGAAAAGCCAGAGAGATTCGCTCTGGACCCCTCTCACCCCGGCTGCTCTGCGAGAAGAGTGGATGGACTCGAGGAGAGGCTGGGCGGTGGCGAGCGCTTGAGTGCAGTTCTTTCGTCTCCGGCTGAGTGGAGCCCCAGCCCTTCCCCGCTGGAATGGAAATGAGTGTTTACACGTCAAATCTACGAAAGCCATCTCTTGACGTCAGATCTACCTGGACTCAGATCTAGATGGTATTCCTGGCGGGGTGGAGAAGAGGCTAAAATAAGCAGCTAAGGGATTAAGAAAGGGAAGGAACCATTTGCTGGGAATCAGCACTGTCCCTGTCTGATCATAAATTCTGTAGCCGTAAGAAACACCTTCACTTCTCCAAGAGAAGTGCCCCATTTGATGTAGCTGTCAAGAGCCAAAGGCTGGGAGTGCAGTACATTTTCCCTCCCTTCTGTCCATTTTTAAAAATATTTATTTGATTATCTCTTGGGGGAGGGGAGAGAATGATTTTTATGATGATTCTGGGGATGTCAATCAGCACCTGCTCTAAAGAGCAGGGCGTTTAAATCTTTCCAATGGGACAGGGGCTGGGAGGGCAGTGGAAGAAAAGCTTCTACTCCCCAGATTCTGATCTAAATTGCCTAAGAAAGTGAGCACGTCTGGAAAACAATGTTAGTTTGTTTTTTTTTAATGTATTTAAGCCATTCAAACCATCTTAATGAACAAGGTTACTTTTTTCTTTCCTCTGTCTCTCAATCTCAGTAAAAAAAAAAGTCTAAAATTCTATTCTACATATTGGAGTGCCCAGTATCACCCACTTTATAATGCTTATTGGAAAAATGATTAAGCACATGTTGTTGTTTTTTTAACAGAAAATTATTTCTTTATTCACAAACCAGGAAGGAACTAGGGACCCAAATGCTGTTCTGTTGACTGAGCAGGTTTCATTAACTCCTAACTTTCATTTTTTTCTTCACTAGAGCTCTTCACTTTGGTTTTGAACTGAAACTATGCCATTACTTTCCTATAAAATGCACCTTGTCTTCTTGTGGAAGAATTTTCTTTTCGTGGAAAGAGAATTATCAAATGTCCAACTGAATCCCCGCCCCAGGGAATGAGTTTAGTCTACCGTGGCAGAGCCTATTCCCATTCTGGAGGTTGAACCTGGCCGGGAAAGCCCGGGTGTGTAATTTTCAGCACCGATGAGTGGACAGCGCCACAGGCGCCCGTGGTCGGAGCTGACCTCCCTTCCTTTGGAGCCCAGACTGCCGCCCTTCTCCACTGGCTGGAGCCAAGCTGTTTATCTTTTGTCCTGCGCCTTTCTTCTCTTTGAAATAGAAAATGGGATTTGACTGCAGGAAGAAGTGTGGTTAGGTTCATGATCGTGACTACTTACATGGAACTCACGGGAACGTATTGAACTTAGCCCAAAAGTAAAATTGCAAGGAATCAAATATCATATGTGAAAGGGTTTTTTGTTTGTTTGTTTTTTTCTTTTCTTTTTTTAACTCCCAACCGCCGGGGGGCGCAATCTATTTTAGAGAAAGAGAAGAAAAGGGATAAGATTGGAAAGAAGGCATGTTAGCTTGTGAAGAAAGGAAGCAAAAGATATCCTTTACAGACAGCAAATGAAACTTGGTGGGGAACGCGGCTGTGTAGTTCTAATCATTCAGTTGCCTCCGTGCTTGCAGAAATTTGGACTACATTGATGATTTCTTTAAACATATTATAAAGCTTAACAAAAAAATATGCCAATGCTAATGAGCCATGCGATGCAGTTACGTGTATCACAATAATCTAACTCACATGAGATGTTGTGGAATGGTCTCTGATGGCTCTTCTGTCTGCTCTGTAAATTCACATGTGTGAGTGTTGATAGCTACATAAACTGTCTTTTTTTTTTTTTTCCTTCATGCCTCAGCCTGGATTGTGGCTTCAAGCTCTCTAGGGTGTTTCATTTCCGCAGTAGACAGATGCTGTGTGCTAGCAAAGCTAAAGAAATGGTGGCAAATGTTCAATAGAGGTAGGCAAGGTTAGAGCAGAAAAAATTTGCCTTTTCTTATTATTGTTTGAGAAAATCAATTTGGCAGAGTGTTGACAATGAGACCAGGGTCTCATTAATGAAACATTTGTCTTAAATGGAGCACCATGCATGCCTGGAATAAACATTTGATTGATGTACTTAATAGGGTAAACTATTTCTCATACTAAGAAGGTACTATCTCCATCCAAACAATATATATGAGTACTTTATTTGGAAATTGTTTGAATTTTAGCTGATGAACATTATATGCCACAGTTTCTGGGATGTAGAAGAAATGAATGTTTACTAAGGCAAGGGGTACACCTTTAAATGTAGGATCCATCTTTTTAAAAAAATATATTTTATTGATTTTTTACAGAGAGGAAGAGAAAGGAATAGAGAGAGTTAGAAACATTGACGAGAGTCATCGATCAGCTGCCTCTTGCACACCCCCTACTGGGGATGTGCCCGCAACCAAGGTACATGCCCTTAACCGGAATCAAACCCGGGACCTTTCAGTCCACAGACGGATGCTCTACCACTAAGCCAAACCGGTTTCGGCTAAATGTAGGATCCATCTTAACTTTGTTAAATTAAGGACTAACTAGCCTATCCTACTGTGTGGATTATGATAATAACCTCCAGGCCCATCAGTTTTGTATTTATATCATGAACTAGAAGAGGCAAGTTAGTTTTAATAGCATTTGTTTCATTTGATTATTTACATATAAAACGGGATAATTAAGAAACTGAAGAAGATTGTATTTCTATTGTGAGTTATTCAGTGAGTATCATGCCTTTCATGATTGCTCCCATCTGCCCAGTGATACAGTTAATTATTTATTAAGTTTTCTTGGAGAGTAATAAATATTCTATACCCCAAATAAGAGCAAGGCTAGTATGAACAAGAAGTAAAAATATGTTCAAAGATCTATAGATCAACATATCTCTTTAGTCTTAGAAAACAAAATTTTAAACCCTGTGAAATGAAGTATTTACACTAAAGTGCCCAGAACAATTTGCTCAATAATTTATCACAAAGTGAATACTGGGGAGACCTGTATAGGACTTGGGAGAGATTTATTACATTTTTAAGACATTTTATTTTATTTTTGTTAATCCTTACCCAAGGATATTTTCCCATTGATTTTTAGAGAGAGTGGAAGGAAGGGGGAGAGACAGAGAGAAATATCAATGTGAGATTGCCAGGGCTGGGGATGGAGCCTGCAACCAAGGATCGAACTCAGGAACCTTAGTCTGCATGCTGACACTCTATACACTGAACCAAACAGGCTAGGGCTCATTATATTTTTTTTTATATAAAACAATTTTGGAAAGAAAAGAAAATATAATATTTGGGCAGTATATTAAAATTGAATATATATTACTTTGAATTGAGAAATATGAATATACTGAGGGACATCTATAATTCCACCAGTTGGGAAGTTCTATTCTATAGGAATGGGGGTAAGAGAATAATAAAGCAAAATCTCTACACTGGAATTCTCTGAGGTAGATAACTAATTATAGAGGATTTTTGTTGAATGAACTAGACAAACAGTTAAAGTCTTGAATTTAATATGTAATTGAATTATTAGAATGAAGAAATGAGTGCTGTAAATTACAATTATTGAAAATGACCAGTCATTTCTAATGAAAGTGGATAATTAAATCTAGTCATATATAAGTATTTATTAATAATTTTTATTGAATTAGAACTAGTTGTTTTTTGTCTGTTTTGATTGTTTATTTGTTGCTTTTTCTATCTCACATATTAGTGAAATTATACAGTTCATATTTTTTCCCCATCTGACTTAATTCACTTAGCATAGCACTCTCAAGATTGATCTATGTTGTCACAAATGGCAACATTTCATCTTTTTTTTATGGCTGAGTAGTATCCCTTTGTACATATGTATCATATCTGCTTTATCTAATCATCAATCCAAGGATGCTTGGGTTATTTCCATGTTAAGACTATTTTAAGTAGCTAGAGGCCTGGTGCATGGATTCATGCATATTGAAAGGAAATTAATTAGAAGGTGGCTGGCAGGGTGGGACTGGGCAAGATGGGCTGTACACCCTTGGAGCCAACCTCCTGCAGACCCTCCCAGGCCAGCCGCACCTGGAGTGGCAACAGGGCTCAAAGGATGTCTGCAGAGTGAGCATGGTCCTTCCAACAGGTGGGATCCCTCTGCCTGGCCTGCAGGGATTTGGTTGAAACGGCAGTCTAACATTCCCCAAGGTGTCTCCAAGTGTGAGAGGTCACTCTGCAAAGTTGCTATCACTTGGCAGCTCCTGCATTGAGCATCTGCCCCTGGTGGTCAATGCACATCAGACCTACCAGCCCATTGGTTGGTCGGCCAGTTGGCTGGTTGCTTAGCCAGATATATATATATAGATAGATAGATAGATAGATAGATAGATAGATAGATAGATATAGATAGATATAGATATATAGATAGATAGATATATAGATATAGAGATATAGAGATATAGAGATATAGAGATATAGAGATATAGAGATATATAGATATATAGATATATAGATATATAGATATATAGATATAGATATAGATATATTCTGCAACAAACTTAGGAGTACATATATCTTTATGAATAAGTGTTTTCAAATTTTTCAGGTAGCTACTCAGAAGAAGGATTGCTGGGTTGTATAGCAGCTCTATTCTTAATATTCTTATAAGGAACCACCATACTGTTTTCCACAGTGGCTGCACCAATTTACATTCCCACCAGCAGTGCATGAGGGTTCCCTTTTCTCTACATCCTCTCCAACACTTATTATTTCTGGTAATATTTATAATAGCCATCCTAACAGCATGTGAGGTGATAAGTCATTATAGTTTTGATTTGCATTTCCCTTATATTTTATTATTTTAAAAATATCTTTTGGCTATTTATATATCT